GCTTCATATTTTTATTTCTCTTCTTTTTACTGCCTAAACTTTTTCCTATACTTAATAAAGTCTTACTTGTATCACACATGACGTTGTTCATTGTTTGCTCATAACTGGAGTCCCTTAATCATGCAGATTTATGCTACAGGCTCTGTGTAGAATTGTACAGTAAGAAAGTTATTTCAGGAAAGTAGGAAAGTAACGTTCTTATAATTGACAGACAGTTGACCCTGAGAGGTCTAAAGCGGATCTAAATATTTATAATTAATTATAACTAGTTATGATTAATTATTCATATTTCCCCTTTGAACTGATTTGCTACACAATAATGTACAGTATGTGGAAAATAATGTGGTTTTTTTTACCTTAAACCTTACACCAAATACACAAAATAATGTTCTTTTTAGCAACATCATATGACCCCTTTAATAATTCTCGGAGACTTTAATAAAGCAAATATTTCCCGTGAACTGCCAAAATACAGACAGCATGTTACATGTCCCACCAGAGACAGTAATATACTGGATCACTGTTACACCACAATAAAGGATGCATATCACTCTGTCCCACGGGCAGCTTTGGGGCTCTCTGATCACTGTTTGGTTCATCTTATACCGAGCTACAGGCAGAATCAGCTAAACCTGTATTAAGGACTGTAAAAAGATGGACTAATGAAGCAGAGCAGGATTTACAAGCCTGCTTCGACCTCACTGATTGGAGTGTCTTTGAAGCCACTGCCACCGATCTGGACGAGCTCACAGAGACTGTAACTTCTTATATCAGTTTCTGTGAAGACATGTGCATTCCAACCAGGACTCATTTAAACTACAACAATGACAAACCATGGTTCACTGCAAAACTCAGACAGCTCCGTCAGGCTAAAGAAGATGCTCGAAGGAATGGGGACAGATTCTTGTATAAACAGGCCAAATACACACTAGAAAAGGAGATCAGAGGGGCAAAGAGGAATTATTCTGGAAAGCTAAGGAATCAATTATCTTCCAGTGACCCTGCTTCAGTGTGGAAAGGTCTGAAAGACATCACCAATTACAAGAAACTATGTTGCACTTCTTCCTGCCCCTGTTATTCCAACCAAAATAATCTGTAGCTCTTCACCTGGATGATTGATAAGAATTACATTATTTTTAATTTAGCCCTCATATACATATAAAGGTATAAATAGAAGTATGTATTATATCTGTAAATTTTGTAGACCTGTATTTGAGAAATAAAAGCACAGTACCTAAATCACTCGAATTGTGGTTTTGTTGCAGACGTGTCTGCAAGTGTGTAATGTCATTGTTTCACATCACATTATATTATTGTTTTCAACATTTAATTGCTTACTTGCACAGTCATGCAATTATAATGGCATAGTGTATTTGAGTAATAATTAATTTCAACTGTATAAATGTAATTATGATTTGTAATATTCAAAACTCCAAAATTAGGTGATGGATTTCTGTTGCAATATTTAGAAAAATAATTAAATATTTAAATATTTTTTTTAAATAATCTTTTCAAATGTAATCTAACTTGGTAATGGTAATTCCATTAACTGTCATATCTTGTGTACTTTATACATAAAAACAAACCACACCTAAGATTTATTAAACTCTCTAAAGATGCCGGAAACCCAACTTTCCATTTGATTTTTATATGATTTAGAATAGATGAACTTTATGTAGCCCTGAGGCATTGCACAATGGTAAATTTCCCTTGTTCCCTAAACAGTGATCAGAGAGCCCCAAAGCTGCTCGTGGGACAGAATGATATGCATCCTTTATTGCTGTGTAACAGTGATCCAAAATAGTGCTGTCTCTGGTGGGACACGTAATGTGCTGCTTGTATTTTGGCAGTTCACGGGAGAGATTTGATTTGCTAAAATTTCCAAGAATGATTAAAATAGAGTCTGGGTTCCTTTGCTCCATTTCAGTTATTTTAATTCAATTGCTTTTAATTTGTAGATATAATAGTAAACACTCAAATAAAAAGGGCTGCAAACATGTAAATTGCATTTAAGGCAGTTTTTACATTAACTACAATGAAAAAAAAATTATATTCGTTGTTGAAATAATCAGTTAAAAAGTAGCTGTCATAGTGTATAGTGAAGTTTTGCTCACGCATATCAACTGAAATAGCACAGACTAAAGGTTCAATCTTGGGACTTAAGAATCGATGTTAATTCGTTAAAATGGAGATATTTAAAACTACAAGTTTTGAATTAAGTTCCGCACATGCAGGGGTTAAAACAACACTGTATTTGTTTGGTACACGTGCATACATTGCAATGGCAACAGCCGCGTATCTGGGGCTCCATTCGCATGGCTCTCGGCCCCGACCAAGTCGTCAGACTGTTTTACTGACATCTTTCAGTGGTTGAAACACTGATTCAGTGATTATATGGCACATGAGATGTTCATTCATGTTTATTTCATGTTATAAATAGTAGTAAAGAGTAAGACATGATCACGTTCACTTGTGCTCTGTGCTGCCGTTTGAACTGAGGCCCTATACAGCGATTTGTCACGCTACATCAAAGAGCATTAAAACGGCTTTTTTTTTTAAGATCTCCAAGGAGAGTAAATGACACCCATCTGACCAAATATATCTCCCTGTTCATTTATGACCCCCTTTTACCCTCTGCCCTCTCTGCCTCTCCCGCTCCCCCACCAGGCTTCACCAAAAGTTTACTTAGAATATCTATATACCTATATACCTCATATCTTGTGACTATGTTGTTTTTCCACTTCATGTATCATTGCAAAGGTCTCTGTGCGATTGGTAAAATGGTCTTAATTTCACAGTAGTCACTTATATTGTGAGCGTATATATATATTATAGAGTATGTGAATCTCTGAAATCACTACATGCTGCTGTGTGTCTCTCTGCTGTCAGGTATGCATCTCTTAGATTCGTCTTTGAGCAATTGATGTTATGTATTTATTCGAATTGGAAAATTTCGTTTAATTCTGAATTGGCTTCTAATTGTTTAATAATGTAATTGGCATGATACATTTTTACCAGACTAATAATAAATTGTTATATTTGATTTGTTCTGGGTCGGTATACTCAAAACATCTTATGGCTAGAAGTAGCTCACAACATGTCGATTTAGGAGAAAATCTTAAAAGTAATGGGTGTGTCAGTCCTAAATTTAGGACTCCTAAATTTTTGCTCTAAGAGTATTTCACAAAGCATTTCAGCAGTAAAACTAGCTCCTAAATCTGTGAAAGGTTAGGAGTAGTTAAGAGGACTCCTAAGTCACTAAGCCCAATCCTAAAATCTGCCTCGGAATGTAAACATTTTAGAAACATTTGACGATAATGAGCTTTTAAAAAGGTATATCGCCTTAATCACGGGGGTATTATGACTGTTGTAAAACTTGTCGGGGACAATTTTGCTTTGATTAGCCTATATCCTTGTTTTCATTAACCAGTTGGGCAAGAAGTAACAGCTCCTCTTGCATCCAGTTTGGTTTTCTTTTATGTTTGCATGTCTTACTATCAGCCATGATTATTCCACTCTGTTAATTAAAAGGCTGTTTATATGCATATTCCCTAATTGTTTACAACATATAGCCTACTTGTTTAATTAGTGGCTCATAGCCTGCATTTTTAAATATTTATTTGAATTTGGCAATTAACAATTTTATTTTTAAACCTTTATTTGAATATGGCAACATAAAATCATGCTCTACATTATTTATAAAATAAGAATACACTTTTTGTTATTCGCTAACAGGGTACAGCATACTTAAAGGTTTTATAACCACCCTGTATTCTCTGAGTAAGACCAGAACTGATGAATTTGTTGGCCAAGTGAATTGCTAAGCAGTACCAGGTCCTTAACGAACGAATAACTGAAAGTATAGAATTTCCAGAATATTCAAATATCTAAATGAATACATAATCGATAGTTTTGATCAGTTTTTAATTAGAAATACTGCCTAAATTGAATGATCATTGAAATTGGAGCTACACTCTTAAAAATAAAGGTTCTTCAAGCGATGCCATAGAAGAACCATTTTTGGTTCCACAAAGAGCCATTCAGTCAAAGGTTCTTTAAAGAACCATCTCTTTCTTGCGTTTTTGTAATCTGAAGATCCTTCTTTCGCTACAAAGAACCTTTTGTGAAACAGAAAGGTTCTTCAGATGTTAAAGGTTCTTTATGGAACCATTTAGACAAAAAGGTTCTTCTATGGCATCGTGAAGCACCTTTATTTTTAAGAGTGTAGACTAAAATTGAAACTAAATTAACTTTATACCTTCATCCACCAATTGGATTCCATCTGGGTGGATCCTTACACTGTCCATGGATGTCCATGATCTCTTCTTGTGCTTGTGTGTGTATTGTGGCCTTACCAGCATACTAACCAGACCAAGCTGTTAGTATGTGATTCACATTTATTTCCTTCACCATCATGGTTCTGTCTGCATATTGCTATACTCACCTGCATTTCTGCATTAATCAACCTGTTCAATAAATAAGTGTTTGAGTTCACTAACTCCTGCTCTCAGTCAGGTTTATACCCTGATAACTATCACTTCATCATTACTATCTATAAGCAATTATTTTTGAATGAATGAATGAGGCATTTATATAGCACTTTGCTATTTACAATGTTATTTTGTATTGATTTAATTTTTTTTTTTAAACAACAGGAAAATTGCGTAGGATCCATATGCACAAATGTATTAAAAACAAATCATACACAAGGCCAAAGGCTACACTCAGAACTAAAAAGTGTAAAAAGAAAAGTACAAACCCATTCAACATTTAGCCACATTTCAAATCATATTCAAAATGGAAAGTTCTGAAATTATTCTCAGTAGCCTTAAATAAAATATAAAAATAATAATAATAATAAAGTCTTAGTGATGTATAATTAATGAGCACACGCTTGATCCAAACTGAGTGAACAAACTATTTTATAGATTATTTTTGTTAAAACTTTCAAAAGAAGAAAGATGTAAAAGACTTTCTGTAACAACTAGGGTAGTAAAAGATTTTGCACAATTAGAATTTACCAGTTTTTGTAAATTTAATCATGTTAAATAACATGTCTTGCTGTGTCGAATAACCGGCTTTATGCAAGAATCCATAGAATAGGTCCTTTAAAAGTTTGATAATTTCTTCAAAAAATGAAGTGTCTCTCTCAGCTTCCTCTCTTGCTCGCTGCTCATAATCATCATCCAGCTTTTTCTTTGCTTGTTCAAAATATTTTCCTTTAAATCTGCTACTAAAAACTGCTAGCTCGTTCTTTCTCTGCTCCTCTCTCTCCTTCAGGATGCGCTGTTTCTTTTTCTCAACTGCTCTCTCTACCATTTCAAACATCTCACTGGTGTAGTATTGGCCACCATTCCCAGTGACCATTTTATCAATCTGGTCGAGCAACTGAGTGACCTGTTCAGGGTTTTGTTCTTTATTGTTGAACACATGGTATCGTCCATTACAAGTTTTAATGAAACTGAGCAGTTTTGGGTTGTCCCGCACAAATGTGTGAATGTTTTTGTCCTCTAGTCGATCTCCATGAGTGAACAGCGCCATGGTGTATGTGGAAGATTCCTCACCAAAAATTGTTTGGATAATTCTTACTGCTTCTGCTTCTTCATCTGTGAATCTGCCCAGCTGAATCACAACTAAGAAGACATGTGGACCAGGAGCAGAGAGAGGGATACAGCGTTTAACTCTGTCAATGACTTCATCTACAGTCAGGCTGGTGTCAAACAGACCTGGAGAGTCAATAATGGATACTTTTCTGCCATTTATAATTGCATGAAACTTTTCACACTCTCCGGTCACAGAGGAGGAGGATATCTCAGATTTAAAAACCTTTTTCCCCAGGATAGTGTTGCCTGTTGCACTTTTCCCCACACCTGTTTTTCCAACCAAAAGAATCCGGAGTGGTTCGCCTGGATGATGCACTGAACATCGTGAAGAATTACAGAAATTATTTTTAAAAAATTCATAATCTCTTGCTAATATCTTTACATTTTACTTATTTATTTTTAAAGTCAATTCAATATTTATAGAATATTATTGGGACCAAAATTTCAAGGAAAAAACATTTTACCTATATCACTGAAATCATGACCTGAAGCACCATTTTGATGATTTTGTTGCCTAAACATCTAGAAATGATTGCCAATTTTATCACATTTTACATATTTACATAATCACATATTTTCATATTTTTATGTCAGAAATGGTGTTACATATATTGTTGTTATGGTTGTTTTTTTATTGTGACTTGCATAAGAATTTTTAAATACATACCTGCACCGTTATTGCGGCAGTGACACCAATTATACCAAACACTATAATGAATGAAGATGAGACCCAAGAGTTTGCAGTCATTGCTGGTTTTGCAGGAGAATTTTCAGTGTCCTCCATAACTACTGCTGAAAGAGTAAGGTCAAAACTGTTGTTCTTGCTATACAATCGTAAAATATGAGTAAAAAAAAAAAAAGGTTATGGACCAGATCAATCGGCCAGTGCCCTGAAGCCTCTGATTTCCAGGGATCTTTTAATAATCTAAAACATTTTAATAATCTAAAGAATATTATTCCACTATAAAGACCCTTTTGTGCTATCAAAAGATTCCATGGATGTTAAAGGATCTTCATGGAGCCATCCAATAAAGAAACTTTATTTTTATGAGTGCATGACCAGAAAAAGCTACTGCATATGTACAGTATTCTTGATATTGACAGACAAAAAGCACATGAATGTGTGCAAGTGCCTGTTGGCACAGTGTTTAAAATAAAGAAATAAGAAATGTTATGTTCCTAACTCGTCAGCAATGTCTTTTGAGCACCTTAAAGTTGCATATACAGCATGTGAAGTTGTTGTCTCTTTTACACTGGACTTACATTTAGTGGCTATACCAGCAGCAAAATGTACTTGCTTTTCTTTCAGAAAGTTCATTCAATCAAGATCATTTCAATATAAAGTCAATTATTCCTTTTTTATAGTAGATTCAATAGTGAAAGTTAAAACTCACCTATGATGTGGTGTTCATGAGAGTCTGGATGTCTCTTATGTACAGGATTTCGTTTTACTTTTCTTTAAAGGGAAAGCTTTTAGACTTCCCTGCCCTTATCTTAAATAATGAACCACTGCAAACTTGGAAAACCTGTTTTTAATTCCATGTTAAACTGTATCTGTTTGTCATTGAGTCAATTCCATCCTGACGCTCTCCTATGATTACCTAACTTCCATCCGTCTTTCTGCATTCCAGTCAATCTTCAGTCACGTCTGATTCATCTGGGTGTTCCTGCAATAAGAAAGAACTCAATCAAACAGTTGGTGGTTGCCATTGACTTCCATAGTATTTTTTTTTTCCTACTATGGAAGTCAATGGCAACCACCAACTGTTTGATTACCAGCAATCTTCAAAATATCTTTTTATGTTCGACATAAAGCAACTCATACAGGTTTGGAACGACATTAGGGTGAGTAAATGACAGAATTTTCATTTTTGGGTGAACTATCCCTTTAAGTTACCAATTGCTGACTCACCTGTTAACTTCACTGTGTCTCCTGAACACCTGCAAGTAAACCCGGTTGAGTTGAAGTACTTGTTGTCGATCCCTGTCTGATCCTGTGACACCGTTAAAGGTGCACTAAGCGATATTTGCCAAACGATGTTGATATTTGAAAGCACCAAAACAAACACGCCTATAGCCCAACAGGACCTCGCCCCTATTTTGATACAGAGATGCAAACCGGTAAGGGGGGAAAAAAGGTGAGAACATTGCGTAGATCGGGAGCATGCTCCACACGGATATTTGCTTTACATGCTCATTTGTAGTTACTTTAAGTTTTTTTTTAAATTATTATTATCTTTTATGTCCAAAACTTTTCACACAAAAATTAAAAATAACTATTTTACAAAAATCAAGATTGATTTGGTCAAAATCCCATGTTATAAAAGATGAAGTGCTATGCAGGCTATTTAAGACAATATTGGCTGATTAGACGGCAATGCTGACCTAAAATGCAAAATGTCTGCCCTCTCTCTCTTCACCGTTCCCACATCTCAGACCTCAAATACATAAAATATTACCCTTTTTAGATATAGTTTTTGAAGTAAAGAAAATACCATACAAAAAACGTATTGAATCAACCAGGGGCCAGTTCCATAGCCACCATGTTAAGACTGTGTCTTAAGAACTAGTTTGACCAACTAGCAGTTGCCAAGGAGTAATCATTTACTTTTCCAATTCAAATAAGACTGTAATGGGGTTCTTTAGTAGGGCAGGAAGAAGTCGGAGTCAGCGTGACTGAGGCTCGGGTAATTTATTGAGCGTCCCGTAGGAACAACGAATACAGGCAGGCGCTCTGGCACTGCAAAACAAACAAAACTTATACAGCACTTCTGCGTATCTCTGTGCCCTCGCCACAGTCTCTCCCTCTCTCTCTGTTCCAACTGGGGCTTTTTACGGTCTCTCCAGGCCAATCACCTGCCGTCTTGCCGTCTTACTAATTTGGGGACGCACCTGCCCGTGGCCCAAGTGGAAGCCCAGATACCGAACCTCCACCCGCACACTTCTTCGGGTTGGCCGTCAGTCCGGCCCCTCTCAGTACGGCCCACACATGCTCCGTATGCCGCTGCCAGTCGTTGCTATAGATAATAATATCATCCAGATAAGCAGCAGCATATGTCGCATGTGGCCGAAGAATCTTATCCATGAAGCGCTGAAACGTGGCCGGCGCCCCGAACAACCCGAATGGAAGCGTAACGAATTGGTGCAATCCGAACGGCGTGGTGAAGGCTGTTTTTTCTTTGGATAGAGGTGATAAGGGGATCTGCCAGTATCCTTTAGTTAAATCCAGTGTCGAATAAAAACAAGCTGCACCCAGCCGATCAAGCAGCCCAATCACTATGGGATTCCTCTATTACTCCCATTTCCAGCATCGCCTCTAATTCCGCCTGAACCACCTTTTTTTTGTGCTCCGGCAAACGATATGGCCGGCTGCGAACCACCACACCCGGCTCGGTCTCTATGTGGTGCTGTATGAGGTCCGTTCGACCAGGTAGGGGCGAGAACACATCCGCAAACGCTGCCTGCAGCTTGGCTACGTCAGCGAGCTGCGAATTTATTGAGCGTCCCATAGGAACAACGAATACAGGCAGGCGCTCTGGCACTGCAAAACAAACAAAACTTATACAGCACTTCTGCGTATCTCTGTGCCCTCGCCACAGTCTCTCCCACACGAGCCCTCAGTCTGTCTCTCCCACTCTCTCTGTTCCAACTGGGGCTTTTTACGGTCTCTCCAGGCCAATCACTGAAACGAGAAGCAGGTGAATGTCATCATGCACTTAACCTACTTACTCACCGCTCGTCTCCGACCGCTCTCTCCTGCTGCAGACTCTGCTAACCCACGCCCCCCTCGCCACAAAGACCAATCTACCTTTTCATAACTGAATTAAAAAAGTTATGACCAGTCGTGATGAAAAAAAATTAGATGACTAACTTTTTAAGACTAGTCTAAACAGTTTATGCAACCAGTCCCAGTTCTTTATTTACCCTTGTAAGATCACAAGTACCCTTACTCATTGGCTGCAAGTGTGTTTTGGTATATGGTCCGACACTGTGGTCAAAAGCGTTTTTCAAAAATCACTTAGTGCACCTTTAAATTAACACATATTTCCTGTAACCCTAAAACACAACAAAATGAATTGTGTAATTTAAAAAAATTGGGCGAAATACCATACAACTGAAACAAAGTTCTTCAGTCAAAAGTCTTAGAAATATAGCAGTAAATTAAATCCAGAAATATTCTGTACTTAAAAATCTATACAAAAGGGAAAATTCTGATCTCATAAACAAGCAAAAACAAATGATCTCTCCCTGACTTTTTGCCTTCTCCAGACTTTAGGTTTTCTTCTTATAATTGTATATGAATCGAATTTTACAATTCAATTCACATTTATTTCTATAGCGCTTTGCACCATCATTGTAAAGCAGCTTCACAAAATAATTATGTTTCTACATTACAAATAAGTATAGTTTATTAAAGTGATGTCCATATGGCAGAAATGTACAGTCCAATTCCCAGACACGTATTAACATTCATTACAATTTTTTTTTTAAGGAATTATAAATCCTGTACAAAAAGGCACAATCTCCTGTGATAGATGCTGTGGGTATTGTGGTTGTTTGGCTAATGTGCATGAACAGGTTTTTGGTACTTCACTGCCAATAATCAAATCTTTGATACTGTACATCCAAAACAATAAATGTCATATTAAACATATTAAAAATACATCTTTCCTGGCCTTTTTAAGATAACCATTTAACAAAATAAGCAAACATATATAAATATAACTTTAGATTCTAATCATTATGTCTATGATCAGACATATATCTGAAAAAGGGAGACAGATGGCTTCAAATACAGTACTTTACATTATAGTATGCCATGTGACACTGTAAACGGAGGCATTACCCTAGTAGAGACTGCCACATTAACTCACCCTTCATCTGTAAAGGTCAACTATGGTATAGATTTAGTCATATGTCACAGTGAGAACATTTACTGTATTGGCAGCAAACTCTTTTCTAGCACAAAACCTTATTTAATTTCATCCCTTGTTTTAGTTAGGCTACATATTTGTACATTTTGTTTCCATATTCAAGTTACTGTCCCCTATTTGTTTTTGTACATTTTAATTGGTCAGTAAAGTAAAAGTGATGAGAGAAACAAAACTTTCAACCAATTGTTTAGCAAAATGATTTAGGCCCTAGCTTGGAAGCACTTGAAACACAACATGCTTGGTGACACCTGCTTGGTCAGAACTTGTGTAAATGCAACAAATACTCAGGCCAAGCATGCAGGGGAAAAAATCTCAATTTAAAAACCAATTGCAAATGTTCTGTTGAGAGTGTAGTCAATTAAATGCAATTAACAATTCATCAAATACCATTAAATATAAAGTGTCTTTATAATATGTACTTTCATTAATTTTGTAGGGCTTGTTTTATCGAAAGCTAGAGACCAATAAGAGACTATTCACTATTACTCTTCCTTTTTATTATACAAATGTTTTATTTAAAATGTCTAAATTTAAAAAAACAAAAAAACCATCCAGAATTAGGGAAAAATCACAGACACTGGTCAAAGGTTTTAAAGCTTCATGAAGCAGTGCTTCGAAACAACCCATTAGTGATGAACAAGTTTTTGCAAGCATAGGCAAATGTGAATGCAAATCCTAAATGGAAATAACAATATGCCCATTCAAATCTTAGTTGCCTCTCATTCAAACTGGTTTGCTCTTTCACCAAAATCTTTTCTGTGATTTTAAGGAGAAGGAGAAAAGGGTCATTCATCTGATATTTTCACCAAGTTGTGACACACTGTGTATGTTTTTCAATTGCAAACTGAGTGTCAAGAAGATATGTGCTTGCAGTTTTGCAGACTTTCACAATTTACATGAGTTGTAGAAAATAGCAGGCCCGGACTGGCCATCGGGAGCACCGGGAAAATGCCCTGTTTTTTATTATTATTATTATTATTGTTATTGAAAATAATATTTTATATTTATGCCTTCTCAATGTACCAAAGTTATCATTTCCGATTTTTTCATTCGATAATAAATCGATAATAAGTCATACATCGGTTAGTCTTGACTCTTGACTGGCAGCGCTGCTTTACGAATCAGCTCACTGTGTCCAGCGCTTCCGTCAAACGATTCCGAACAGAACCGAAAGAGAGGAAGCGGCCAGAAGAAGCAGTGAAATGTAGCAACATCACTGACCTGTTCAGGGCTTCAAGTGCAGGTCAGTTTCATTTGTAAATACGCTAGATATTTTTGTCTTTATTAACCTAGTTGAGTAATAGCTACACTGCTAGTATCTGTTAGGCTACCAGTAGCACCCCATTATTATCATCATTCAGAATACTGTGCTAAAGGACATCAATATCGATTGTAAAGTTACATTTTAAAAAAATAGCAGAGACAGATATTCACGTGGATTTATTGTACAGGGAGGGAGGGAGCTAGAGACAGCAACACAAAAAAAATATGAGTCAAGGCCTATAATTCAATAGTGTGTTCAATATTAGAATTTTTCAACAAATATATTGTACTAGTTTTGACATTTAGGCACTTTAGAAAATGTTTTAATACACAGTCAAAAGGTTTTGATCAGTAAGATTTTTAATGGTTTTTTTTTTTTAAGTCTCTTCTGCTCACCAAGCCTGCATTTATATGATCCAAAATACAGCAAAAACGGTAACATTAAACATTGTGAAATATTTTTACATTTAAAATAACCGATTTCTATTTGAATATATTTTAAAATGTAATTTATTATTTATTAATAATAGTAATTTATTATTATTACTACATTGCAAACAGAGTAGATTTTTTTCAGGTTTCTTTGATGAATAGAAAGTTTATAGAAAGCATTTATCTGAAATAGAAGTCTTTTGTAACATTATAAATGTCTTTATCATCACTTTTGATCGATTTAAAGCATCCTTGCTAAATAAAAGTAATATTTAGCAAAGAGAAATACGAAATATGAACGAGTGAATGCTCTCGACACATAGTCTTTTGTTCATCAAGTACTTTCACTTCATATGCACTAAATCTCAGCCTCAACCCATTCAAAAGTACCAGTACTTACATAGAAACCTATATGCATAGTAGCCAGAAATAAATGCAAATTTTAAAGAAAAACGTCAGACGTACTTAGAGGCTTTTGCATCAGATCTCTTCAAATATATTTTCCACAATTAGCCTAACTTAAATAATTTCTTCACACAATAGGCCACAAATTCAAAGATTTGACCAAAAATTGAAGTGCTTCTCTCAGCTTGCCGTCTTGCCTCCTGCTCATGTTTATCCTTCAACTGTTCTTCAGCTTTTTTAAGGGCCTCGCCTTCAAGTTGAGTCCTCAGAGCTTCTGTCTCCCTCTGTCTCTGCTCCTCATTCTCCTTCAGGATACGTTGTTTCTCTTCCTCAATCGCTCTCTCAGCCCTTTCAAGCATCTCACTGGTGTAGTATTGACCACCATTCCCAGTGACCATTTTATCAATCTGGTCGAGCAACTGAGTGACCTGTTCAGGGTTTTGTTCTTTATTGTTGAACACATGGTATCGTCCACTGCATGTTTTGATGAAATTGAGCAGTTTTGGGTTGTCCCGCACAAATGTGTGAATATTTTTGCCCTCCAGTCGATCTCCATGAGTGAACAGCGCCATGGTGTATGTGGAAGATTCCTCACCAAAAACAGCTTGAATGATTCTAACAGCTTCTGCTTCTTCATCTGTGAATCTGCCCAGCTGAACCACAACTAAGAAGACATGTGGACCAGGAGCAGAGAGAGGGATACAGAGTTTAATTCTGTTGACCACCTCATCTTCAGTCAGGCTGGTGTCAAAAAGACCTGGAGAGTCAATGACAGATACTTTTCTGCCATTTATTCTTGCATTATATTTTTCACACTCCCCGGTCACAGAGGAGGATGATATCTCGGATTTAAAAAACTTTTCCCTCAAAATAGTGTTGCCTGTTGCACTTTTCCCCACACCTGTTTTTCCAACCAAAAGAATCCTTAGCTCTTCACCTGGATGTTGCACTGTGCATTGAAAAGAATCATAGGTATTACATGTAATTCAGATGATAATCACTTGCTAATCATTATATACATATGTACACATTTTATACATATGTACTTTACCTATATCACTTGAATCATGAACTGAAACATGATGCTGATGATTTTGTTGACTAAGCATCTAGAAATATTAAACATTTGATCACATTTTTTCATATTTACAATTTTACTTATACAATATGTCTTTTAAAAAAGCAATTTCAAACACATACCTGCACCAATATTGCGGCAGTGACACCTATTATGCCAAGCACTACCAGTATAATGAAGGAAGATGAAACCCATGATTTTGAGGTTGTTGATAACGGTCTAGGATGATTTTTGGTCTCCTCCATAACTGAGAAAGTATAGTAAAATTATTTATAATTGATTATCTATTATTCTTGCATTGACGTCTTAAAATATGAGTGTGTCCTAGGATCTCTTAAAGTCCCACTATGGCCTAACACCAGAACATGCCACTGCATTTGTAATATGGATACAGACAGACACAGAGCCTCTTGGTACAATGCGTGAATTAAGGAAAGAAATGAGAAATGTCATCTGCTTCTATCCCCTCCCGCATTACTCATATGTGTTCATAACTTCATTAAAAAAAGTAAACGGCCAACAAACATTTCTGACTTGAAACCAAAGTTTATATATCTACATCATTTACACTGTGCATATGCTTCTTTTCCTTTTTTCTCCATTCTTTTTCTGTCTCTGTGATCTGATTTCAACACTGCAGTTAGTGGCTAATAACAACAGAAAAATAACTATTTTTCCCTTTCAGAAAATATAATGTCAACTTAAAAAAGGGTATTCAGTTTTTATAATGATATAAAATGCAAGTTAAAACCTGCCCTTGATGTGGAGCTCATGAGAGTCTTGATCCTGCAGAGCCTGTTCTGTGCAATGTTTATTTTTCCTCTTCCTTATAATGGAGAGTTTCATTTGCATGTAGATTTCCCACCCCTTTTTATTTTTAACTCTGCCAGGCAAAATAGCATGTATAAACCTAACCTATAGACTATTTGAAAATCAATTAAAAGAAATGTATACCTGTATGAAACATTATGCTGTAGCCACTTTGGGCCAGCGGTTTGGAAAATGGATGAATGGGTAATTGTGACTTTTTGCTTAAGTAGAACAGTAAATAAGATATTTTAGTTGATACTGTAGTCCTTAGTATAAAATACAAGTCAGCTCATCTTTTTACATTAACAATGAAAAACTATAAAAACGTTCATGTGCACATCACCAGCTCATCGGTCTTTGGACCGGGTCTGAACTCTTTCCTCAGTTCAGTGTACTTTTGGAGGAACTGGAGCACTGAATTAGTGGACAAAAACCAGCTTCACAGGATCATATACGCCAGTAATTTGACTCATGTTGGCTCATGTCTGAAACTGAGTGAACAACTTGTAGATCTGTACTGCTTGAGCCGCAAACAGTTTCAGACGGTTCAGTCCGATTTGGTGAACTGATTCAACTAGTTCACCAAAAAGAACCATTCAAAAGAATGATTAATGAACCGGGCATCACTCCGGACCGTTCATGAGGCTATGCATTAAAGGTAATAATGTTGTAAATAATGCTCAGTTTCTTGCACAGACCAATCTTCACTTCAAAAGACCTCAATATACTGTATCAGAACTGTGTTCCTTGGTATGCTTTTTTATTCTTAAATACAGGCCGCCACTGACTTGCATTTTATGAATCACCAAGGACCATGGTTTTTGCTAAAACTCTTTACTGTTCTACTCAAGAAAAATATCACCTACATCTGGGGTGGCCTAAGGATGAGTAAATTAACAGCATTGTTCTGGATTTTGTTCTTTATTGTTGAACATGTGGTATTGTCCACTGCAAAGTTTTTATGAAACTAAGCAGTTTTGTCCTGCAGTTGATCTCCATGATGAGTGAACAGTGCCATGGTGTATGTGGAGGATTCCTCACCAAAAATTGTTTGGATGAATCACAACCAAGAAGGCATGTAAACCAGGAGCAGAGAAAGGAATACAGAGTTTAATTCTGTTGACCACCTCATAGAGGAAAGTGTTGCATTTTTTCCCACCCCTATTTTTCCAACCAAATGAACCAAGAGCTCCACTTGGATGTTGCACTGTGCATTAAAAATAACTATATTACACACTCTCAGAAAAAAAAGGAACAAAACCGGTCACTGGGGTGGTTTTACCTTTTAAAATGGTACACATTTGTACTTTCTTTACCTCTAAATGGTGCATATTAGTACCTTAAAGGGCCATATTAATACATAAAGTTGAAATATTAGTACCTACATATTACATATTAGTACCTTTTGTACCATTTACCATTTTGTACCAGATTGATGACAGCCTTTGTACCATTTTTTTAAAAGTACAATGTATTTTAAATTGTAATCTCTCTTTAAATGTATACACAAAAAATAAAATCATAGTTCAACATTTATAAGAATGATAAGGAAAAGTATATAATCTACACTTGTACATTTTCATATACTGTTCAATACAGCAGTTGTGGACAGAAATTATATAATACCGTCAAGTCAAAAGCTAACTACACTCTTAAAAATAAAGGTGCTTCACGATGCCATAGAAGAACCTTTTTGTCTAAATGGTTCCATAAAGAACCTTAAACATCTGAAGAACCTTTCTGTTTCACAAAAGGTTCTTTGTGGTGAAAAAAAGGTTCTTCAGATTATAAAAAGGTAAGAAAGAGATGGTTCTTTAAAGAACCTTTGACTGAATGGTTCTTTGTGGAACCAAAAATGGTTCTTCTATGGCATCGCTGTGAAGAACCTTTTGAAGCACCTTTATTTTTAAGAGTGTATTCTTAAGTTTAAACGAAGGCCAAAAATTGTGTTTCTATAAGTGCTTTTATTGTGACTTGCACAAAACAAAAATTTTCAAGTCTGGATGCCTGTTATGTGAAGTTATCCAACCTTCAAATATACACTTCTGCGTCATATACAAACAAGTTTGTACTACACTCTCAGAAAAAAGGGTACAATTTTGTACCAAAGAAGGTACAAACACTCGTCACTGGGGCTGTACCTTTTAAGGGTACAGAATTGTAACTTAATATAAAGGAACAAATTTGTACCATTCCAATTTGTACCTTAAATGACATGATTTGTACCATGGGGAACCAAAATGTACCTTTTAATTTTTAAAACTTGTTGGTACAATATTGTACCTTCATCAAAGGTACAACTCTTGTCCTTTAAGGTACCACCCCAGTGACAAGCCCATTTGTACCTTAACTGTGGCAAATATGTTCCTTCAAGAGCTATTAAAGGCCATTTTCCTATTGAATAACATGCACATCCAACAACTGAAACCAAAATATTTTTTAATATCAGTAACTGCAAATACATATCAAATACACACAAGTGGTTGAACAGTAAAATATTTCTTTGTGTAAATGCATCTTTCCAGATAACAATAAAGACTTTAAAAAATAACAGAGTATCACTTTTTTTTAAAAAGCTGCAAAACATTTCACAATTAAATTAAATGTTACAGTACATAAAATATAATTACACTAAAATGTTACATTATGTAACAAAACTAGAAAACTTTCCCCCCACTTTTCATCAAAGAGACATTTATAAGACATTTCATGTTAACCTTTTCACATTATTAACCTTTCTCATATCCCATTCACCAGAAGGCAAACATATGCTTTAATCCTATTTATTAATTACTTGACTATTTAACTTCTAACATAAACTCTTCATCTTGAGATTTGAAATGCCTTCTGCAGTTAATTTAGTTTTTCAGTAGCAACACTCACTGAGTTTTCACATGGGTCACATCAGAAAGTGATCAATATAAGAATTTGCTTACTGCTTTAATCAAAGAACTGACCCCTTGGATTAAGAATGGAAAATCATTCTGAGCTTGGTAACTTGCCAGCTGGTCATTTATTATTGTTTAACATTTTTAGTGCTTTTTCATAGGCCTCATCTTCAAGTTGAGCCCTCAGAGCTTTTATCTCCCTCTGTCTCTGCTCCTCATTCTCCTTCAGGATACGTTGTTTCTCTTCCTCAATCGCTCTCTCAGCCCTTTCAAGCATCTCACTGGTGTAGTATTGACCACCATTCCCAGTGACCATTTTATCAATCTGGTCGAGCAACTGAATTACCTGTTCAGGGTTTTGTTCTTTATTGTTGAACACATGGTATCGTCCACTGCATGTTTTGATGAAACTGAGCAGTTTTGGGTTGTCCCGCACAAATGTGTGAATGTTTTTGCCCTCCAGTCGATCTCCATGAGTGAACAGTACCATGGTGTAATTGAAGGACTCCTCACCAAAAACAGCTTGAATGATTCTAACAGCTTCTGCTTCTTCATCTGTGAATCTGCCCAACTGTATCACAACTAAGAAGACATGTGGACCAGGAGCAGAGCGAGGGATACAGCGTTTCATTCTGTTGACCACTTCCTCTGAAGTCAGGCTGGTGTCAAACAGACCTGGAGAGTCAATGACGTATACATTTCTGCCATTTATAATTGCATACAATTTTTCACACTCTCCGGTCACAGAGGAGGATGATATCTCAGATTTAAAAACCTTTTCCCCCAGGATAGTGTTGCCTGTTGCACTTTTCCCCACACCTGTTTTTCCAACCAAAAGTATCCGAAGCGGCTCACCAGGATGATGCACTGAACAGTTAACGAGAATTATATCTTTTTTTTTAAATCTTGTTTATATATATATATATATATATATATATATATACATATTATATAAGGTTATTTAAAGCAGTGTAACATATAAGGCAGCAACATATATAGATGGATAATAAATCAATATCTTACCTATATCATCCAAATCCTGTTTTTGTTGCTTGAAGATCCTGTTTTTGTTGCTTGAAATACCTTTTATGACATTTGTCCACTTATACTGTACATGTCAAAAAGATAATCAGCTTAGAATGAAAACAGGACAAAGTATGAGTGCATATTTTAAGCGTATGTAAGCATACCTGAATTCCTATTGAAATAGCGGCAACAATTATACAAAGCATCAGTAGTATTGTAGAGAAAGATGAGTTCCAAGACTTTAAAGTCATTGTTGATGGTCTTAGAGAAATGTCCTGCACGGCTATAGAGACGTGTAAAAATAGATAATT